GAATGTAGTGTGTATTCATATTTTTTTTCTTAACAGCAACTTTGAACCACAACAATTTCCGAATGGGCCTAACTCCCAAAAATTCCTTTCACTGTGGCGTTCCCCAATTTATTACCTTTCATTTGAGTCATGTTCGGTGGCGAACTTTACCGTACAGCGCTGACGAGGCTTACCGAAAGAATGTAGGGAGTATTCATATTTTTTTCCTTAACAGCAATTTTAAACCCTAACAATTTCCGAATGGGCCTAACTCCCAAAAATTCATTTCACTGTGGCGTCCCCCAAGTTATTACCTTTCATTTGAGCCATGTCCGGTGGCAACCTTTACCGCACAGCGCTGGCGAGGCTTACCGAAAGAATGTAGAGTGTATTCATATTTTTTTCCTTAACAGCAACTTTGAACCACAACAATTTCCGAATGGGCCTAACTCCCAAAAATTCCTTTCACTGTGGCCTCCCCCAAGTTATTACCTTTCATTTGAGTCATGTCCGGTGGCGACCTTTACCGTACAGCGCTGGCGAGGCTAACCGAAAGAATGTAGGGTGTATTCATATTTTTTTTCTTAACAGCAACTTTGAACCACAACAATTTCCGAATGGGCCAAACTCCCAAAAATTCCTTTCAGTAAGGCCTCCCCCGAGTTATTACCTTTCATTTGAGCCATGTCCGGTGGCGAATTTTACCGTACAGCGCTGGCGAGGCTTACCGAAAGAATGTAGGGAGTATTCATATTTTTTTCCTTAACAGCAATTTTAAACCCTAACAATTTCCGAATGGGCCTAACTCCCAAAAATTCCTTTCAGTATGGCCTCCCCCAAGTTATTACCTTTCATTTGAGCCATGTCTGGTGGCGAACTTTACCGTACAGCTCTGGCGAGACTTACCGAAGGAATGTAGGTTGTATTCATATTTTTCTCCTTAACAGCAACTTTGAACCACAACAATTTCCGAATGGGCCTAACTCCCAAAAATTCCTTTCACTGTGGCCTCCCCCAAGTTATTACCTTTCATTTGAGCTATGTCCGGTGGCGAACTTAATTTACCGTACAGCGCTGGCGAGGCTTACCGAAATAATGTAGGGTGTTTTCATATTTTTTTCCTTAACAGCAACTTTGAACCACAACAATTTCCGAATGGGTCTAACTCCCAAAAATTCCTTTCACTGTGGCGTCCCCCAAGTTATTACCTTTTATTTGAGCCATGTCCGGTGGCGAACTTTACCGTACAGCGCTGGCGAGGCTTACCGAAAGAATGTAGGGAGTATTCATATTTTTTTCCTTAACAGCAACTTTGAACCACAACAATTTCCGAATGGGCCTAACTCCCAAAAATTCCTTTCACTGTGGCTTCCCATAAGTTATTACCTTTCATTTGAGACATGTCCGGTGGCGAACTTTACCGTACAGCGCTGGCGAGGCTTACCGAAAGAATGTAGGGTGTATTCATATTTTTTTCCTTAACAGCAATTTTAAACCCTAACAATTTCCGAATGGGCCAAACTACCAAAAATTCCTTTCACTGTGGCCTCCCCTAAGTTATTACCTTTCATTTGAGGCATGTCCGGTGGCGAATTTAATGTACAGCGCTGGCGAGGCTTACCGAAAGAATGTAGGGTGTATTCATATTTTTTTTTCTGCAACAGAAACTTTAAATCCCAAAAATTTTCGAATGGGCCTAACTCCCAAAAATTCCCTTCACTGTGGCCTCCTTCAAGTTATTATCCTACATTTGAGCCATGTCCGGTGGCGAATTTTACCGTACAGCGCTGGCGAGGCTTACCGAAAGAATGTAGGGTGTATTCATATTTTTTTTTCTGCAACAGAAACTTTAAATCCCAACAATTTTCGAATGGGCCTAACTCCCAAAAATTCCCTTCACTGTGGCCTTTCCCAAATTATTACCCTACATTTGAGCTATGTCCGGTGGCAAACTTTACCGTACAGCGCTGGCGAGGCTTACCGAAAGAATGTAGTGTGTATTCATATTTTTTTCCTTAACAGCAACTTTGAACCACAACAATTTCCGAATGGGCCTAACTTTCAAAAATTCCTTTCAGTGTGGCCTCCCCCAAGTTATTACCTTTCATTTGAGCCATGTCCGGTGGCAAACTTTAGCGTACAGCGCTGGCGAGGCTTACCGAAAGAATGTTGGGTGTATTCATATTTTTTTCCTTAACAGCAACTTTGAACCACACCAATTTCCGAATGGGCCTAACTCCCAAAAATTCCATTCACTGTGGCGTCCCCCAAGTTATTACAGTTCATTTGAGCCATGTCCGGTGGCGAACTTTACCGTACAGCGCTGGCGAGGCTTACCGACAAAATGTAGGGTGTATACCAATTTTGTCAACATTTTTGTTGATGACACTGACCGGATTGCTTATGAAAATTAACAATTTATTTACCTAACATTTACTTTTTTCACATAGTTTGATTTTAACGTTTTTGAATCATTGATATTTTTCCTTTGTATCACATTTCTTGGAAATAATACCCGAACGCTATTTCAACGAGGCTGATACGTCAAAAAAAATACTTCCTTAATGCATATTAAAAACAAAACACTAAACAACTAATAATTGACTTAATTAATATTTAATTTTTGACAAATATAGTTATGTATACCTTCAATCATATAATATGAGACATGTGTTTATTTTTTATAAGGAAAACGAACGATTGCTTTTCAATATCAATTAATGTACATTTTTAAGATTAAGAAGTACAAACAAAACAATATGTGTGATTGTCTATCCCTGACATATGAATTAACGCAGTGATGGATTCATGGCAAATGCCATGTTTGTGTTCAAACTACATCTATTTGGGTCACTTATAAGGTATTTACTATTGCAGCAAATATATATAATTATTTGATAATTTGCAGTAATGTTGTTCTATTAAACAAAAATATCATGTTGAATTTTGTGGTTCATACAAAATGTAAATATTACACTAGCAAATTTGGATATCATTTGCAGTTGGGCTTACTGCAACAATTGACTATACATAAAATTTTAAAAATGAATATAATAAACTTACGTTCACAAACTAGTCAATTGCTTTTCAGCAAAACTCAATTGAATCACAAATAATGAGATTATTTGAACTCTTTTCTGCCTGCAATATAATTGTCTTTGAGACATGAAATCGGGTAAACAATCACTCACTTTCAACAAGTCTGCTGCATGACATGATGCACATATGTACTAATTAGGTTTCAAACTGCTGTGATAATGACTAAACGGCGATAAATAATAACATGAAAATGTGATTGATGTTAAATACTCATATCTAGTGACCTTGAAATACGATTAACAAAAACTAGTTTCAGGTGGTACTAAAGACCTTGTCAAAAATTTATTTGGCTCGTTTCATTTTCAAAACATTTTGACAAAATATTTACTTTGACCCTTTGAAAAAAATAAATTTCAAAATAATTGAACCACACACTATATATCAGAAAAATATCATTGAATCTATAGCATTTTGACAAACACTAATTTTTATAATTTAATCGTTCATTATTTGCTTTAGAGTAGAATGTGATATAAACGTTCAGCTGATTTTTACAAAATTATCTCCCTGCAGTGTTACATGTATGTACCACCTTAAAACAAAAAAAAAAACAGGAATGTGTCCATAGTGCACGGATGACCCACTCGCACTATCATTTTCGATGTTCAGTGGATCGTGAAATTGGAGTAAAAACTCTAAATTAGAATTCAAATTGGAAAGATCATATCAAAAGGAACATGTGTACTAAGTGTAAAGTTGATTGGACTTCAACTTCATCAAAAACTGCCTCAACCAAAAAATTTAACCTGTTGCGGGACAGACGGACGACCGAACGTACAGACGCACCAACGGACGCACAGACCAGGACACATAATGTCCCTCTACTATCGTAGGTGGGCAAATCTACTGAAACGAACGGAGGGAATAACATGTTTTATTATATAGGACGGTTGAAACAGAATTCATGATGCCCTAATTTTTTTATTAATTTGCTATACATATGTATGTACTGTGTTGGAATATTATATTTCGTTGAAAAAAGGGGTGCTCACTTGAGTCAATCAGTTCATGTTTGGTGGATTTGCAAAGTAAATCACCATTTCAAACTTTGAAATCTAAAACAAACTGGTAAAACATGGAATATAAATCACGTAAAGTTAAAATAACATTGTTCAGTGACTTGATGATGTATATGGTTTTTAGTATGATTATTGCTACAAACAATTAATGTTTTCCTGTAAAAATGTTACGTTGAATTGAAGACAGCGTAAGATAGTTTTTTGTTACATGAACATATTTAGAAAGCTTTATATAGTGTACTTGTGTAAAATTAAAATTGAAATATTGGCGTGGACTCAATTGCACTGCCATTTTAAAATGTTAACTGGACAGTTTTAAATCTGACAAATGTAAAGAAATCAATTGCTTTATCAATGCAAATATTACTTTTAATGTTTGAAATGAGGACTGAAGTGTACGTCAATTTGTTTTTATGGAATAAAACCATCATTTCATTTTGAAAACTATTGGTGCACTTAATAAAAAATATATATAGATATAGGAAGTTGTGGTATGAGTGCTAATGAGACAACCTCCATCAAAATAACAATTTTTAAAAGTAAACCATTATAGGTCAAGGTACGGCCTTCAACACGGAGCCTTGGCTCACACCGAACAACAAGCTATAAAGGGCCCCAAAATTACTAGTGTAAAACCATTCAAACGGGAATACCAACGGTCTAATCTATATAAATATATATATATATATATATATATATATACTTTTAGCATGCTATTATGATTACTGTATAGAAATATCAATTGGACACAAACTTTTATTCTTTCAATAGTTCAAAAATTTTGTAGTAATGCAATTGACATGGAAATATAGTTTCCACACACACTATTTGTTGCTTTTAACCGCAATAATCTAAATATCTGAAATTAACAAAATCCAAGTTTAAGTTACGTTGTGCTATTGTCTAGATAGACATTGCTGAAATGAGAAATCATATATCTCATTTTGAAAGCTGAATGTACATGAGTTGTATTTCGTTTTCTTTGAAATACCAAATTAAATTGAAAATATTATTTGTAAATTTACCATGATAGAAAGAGTATTAACAAAATTGTTCAAAACAATAACACTTATTTGTTTCTACTATTTACATTTTGTAAATACAATGACAAAAAAATTCTTCCAATCCCTTTTATGCTGATTACTAGTCCATCTTTGACTTCTTCCTAGCTTCTCTAAAACCCTTAATCTCATTTTTGATTGCCTCTGTAGCTGAGAATTCAGTTTCTATGCATAGTCTTTTAATTTCCGTTCCTGATTTATCATGAATTCTTCCAAGCACTTCCGCTAGAACCTCCTTCACAAGCACACAATCGACATACCAACTTCTGTAGACGAAGTTCTGTTGTAGTTTCTTATTGAGCCCATCGGCATCATCAAATACACACTGATTATTAGGTAATCTAAAAGGCTTTTTAATTTGTGTAAAGTATCTGTCAAATAGGTAACTCTCAACTTCATAGTACTCGTCCCGTTCGATAAAATCTGATCCATATCCTATCAATGCTTTGCGGTGAATAGCATTTGGATTTTTCAAAAAATTATTATGTGCTGTGTTGCATTTCTGCTTTCCTGTTACGATATTATACACAATCTCGTCTAAGTCGGATGTTAAAATAATATTATGTATCCCAAAAACGCTGTTATCCTCTGTTTGTTCCTTGTATGATTTGATGATTTCGTTTAAAATATATTGTCTTAGTTGTATGCCCGTAACGTTTAATTGCCTCACTGACCTCTTTCCTTTTATCATCGCAACATACAAGCAAGTTAAAGGACCGCACGATGAAGAATCTCTTTGCATAGGGAACAAGCCTGTCTCCATCAAGTTCTGTACTTCCCAATGTCCTTTCACACTATTGAAAGTTTCAAGAACACACTGATTATTCAATACACCACATATTCTGTCCAGCACTTCTGTTATTGGTTCCATTGCAAGTGGGTCTAAGTAATACATGATTCTCTCTGTGGGCCGAATCACTATCAGAATCCAATGATTGTGTCTTACATTTGCTGGAATCATTATACAATTTTTGTCATACCAAGTATATTCCTTCTGCAATGATGACAGCCTGTCGTGGTACCAGGCTGCAGGCATAATGGTACAATCCTCCTCTTTTGTTAATGTTTGAATAAATGCATCAATATTTTTATCCGAGAAGTCATCGTGCAAAAATCGGTTAACATCATTTTTGTCTAATCGTAGTGATCCACAGGTGAAAGGTGCGTTAAATTTCTCAATTACACTTCTGTCTTCGGCAGCAATTGATAGTGATAATGTTTCACTATCAGTCTGAAAATCAGCATTTACTTCAACAAGTTTGTATAAATGATCGAATACCTCACCGTCAGACTTTCTATCTAGGAACAAAATGCAGGTGTTTGTGGTATCCTGCAAGCGACTAGATATTTCATTACTTGTTATATCAATCAATGCACCATTTTCTTCCAGCAATAAAGGTATAGCTTCTTCCTCTTTTTGTCTGAATAGGATGGTACCAGAAGACGATAGTACTGCACGGGGTGTATACTTGTCTCCAAGTTGTTTCAGTGATTTTGGATAGATCATATCTAAGGAACCTGTCACAATAACTGTGCTGCCAATGTTTGTTATATATTTCTCTTCTTTTAATGATTCCTTTCCGCATACTGTACATGTTGACTTGCTGGCAGTGGATAGATAAGTATAGACCGGTTTCAATTCTTCTATATCAGTAATGATATCGTGCTGATTATATGTGCTTTTAAAGTTGCAGGATGCACAGTGAGCATGTTTAATGGTTTCTAAGCCAAACGCACGCTGAAGAATATTTGGAGAGTTTCTGCAGAAATATTCCAAAACAGCTTTTATAAGTTCTTCCAGATAGTCTGCCCCATTATAAAAGGTAGCTTGTCCAATTGACTCCTGCAGCAGCTTATATATCTTCCATGAATTGTGAATCTTGTCATCCGATACTTCAAGTTTTTCAATCAACTTAAAAAGTTCGTTCTTTCTCACACTCAACCCTGGTGTAAATGGGACACTATTATTTATCTCAGACCACCCCATGGATTCTTTTATTGCATGAAATACATTTGGTAAGCTGTGATGGCAGATAGTTTCGTCGTCAGGAATTAATTCGTACTGAAACAAATAACCGTCGGTAAGAATTCTGTTACTGTCAAATGAACTGATTGCTGCATCATCGAATAAAACTGGTTTACCTCCATCTTCCTTAACGTATGTATAGTGTCCCTTCCTTGCTCCTGCCCCATGATGCATGACTACACCTGTAAGCCTATAAAACACGTCGCTTTGTGGATACATATACTTCCCCATATTGATAATTCGGTCAATAGAAATAGGCTTACTGTTCTTGATGGCCCTGTTGTTTTTAATACCATGTCTCACTAAGCATATTGATAGGTCTGCTGGAATATTTAATAGTCTGACATTTCTCCATTTCTTTTTGTCCTCACAACATGTCAAGTCGATTTCTTCATCGCTAAAATATCGATTCAATAAATCCTGGAAAGTAAAATAAGCAGATGAAACCGCTAGATAGATGTAATATAGATTATTTGTTATCATCTCACAAAAATAAAATCAAATTTTAAAAACGCGATAAAGAGATTACATAACAAGTAGCAAGGACATTGTACATGGACTCTATTAGGCATATTTCTATTGCATCTTTCATGTACTGGGAGGAGTGGTCCTGTCAAATTAATAGAAGACAATTATAATAATCATTTCCCATCGATTTTCTAGATTCTGTATACATAAGGTAATATAAGTTAAAAGTATGGTTAGAGTATAACAGCTTTTTTTTCTAATTCATCTTCACTGGGAAATATCAAAGCCTAGCATTTGGAAGCCAATTTTTACTCAACATTTACAAATGGCAAGTTTGAATAGATTGCTATCGAAACATTTGAGAATACATTGGACATGCAGTTAAAATATATCGAAATATAAAATATGAAAGTAGCCAAACATTCCAAAATAACTTAATATTTGAAAGTGCACAATATCGGACTATTGGAAGCTCTTTGTAAAATTCCTTAGATATGGGGGGATTTATGAGTTGAATTGTTTCATATTTAACATGTCGGGACCTTTTATAGCCGACAATACGGTATTGGGTTTCTCATTGTTGAAGCAAGCCCTTATGGTTGCATATTTTTAGCTACATCAATTTCATAAGAACTGTGGTGAATAGTTGTCTCATTGGAATTTATATCACATCTCCTTATTTGGTATTGAAAAAATACTACTCAACTTCCAAGCAGTTTCATCACGTATCACAATAAAACAACCGTCGATAGTATTTAATTAATCCAAGATAAATCATTCATAATAAATAACACAAATCGTCAGAAATAAGTATTGGCGAGAAATTATCATATCATTCTGGTCTCCCAAAAAAATCGGATCTTTGCAAATTTTGTGTAAACATAAAATCAAGTCAATTATGACGTCATTAAAAATATATCAATTTTTCAAGATAATAGAAGAACAAAGTTCCAATGTCCCACGCACAGGTTGCACTTATTAATATTTCCAAATTGAATAACTAACTTGAAAAGACAGGTTCATCGGCCACCATTTTAAAACGTGTCCGATATATTGTTTATATTAACCTATATCATAAGTTTCATAAAAATCTGTCAAGAATTGTATCTTGTCAAGTTTCTTTTTATGATGAGGCTGACTTCTTACAGAAGCTTGTAAGGAAGAAAGATAATAAATTAGCAATATCCTTTAACTTTATGTTCAGCTATATAGATGATGTTCTCTCACTAAATAATAAACAGTTGGGTTACTATGTTGAATGAATCTATCCCATCAAACTGGAGATAAAGGATACTACAGATAGAGTTAAGTCTGCCTCATATCTACACTTACATCTAGAAATTGACAATGAGGGTCGGTTAAAAAAAACTTTACGACAAAAAGATGATTACAGCTTCCCAATTGTGAACTTTCCATTTCTATGTAGCAACATTCGAGAAGCGCCTGAATACGGAGTATATATCTCCCAATTAATACGATATTCCCGGGCTTGTATTTCCTATCATGATTTCCTTGATAGAGGATTGCTACTCACAATGAAGCTATTGAATTAAGAGTTCCAAATGGCGAAATTGAAATCATCCATTCGTTCATTTTACGGACGCCATCACGAGTTGGTTGACCGTTACGGAATAACCGTTTCACAGATGATATCGGATATGTTTCTTATGTCGTAACTACAATACCCTTCCGTTTTCATTAATGTGACCTATCAAATTAGACTTTTTACCGGATTTGTAATGACACAAGCAACACGACGGGTGCCACATGTGGAACAAGATCTGCCTACCCTTCCAGAGCACCTGATATCATCCCCAGTTTTTGATGGGGTTCGTGTTGCTTAGTCTTTAGTTTTAATTATATTTTTAGCCATGGCGTTGTCAGTTTGTTTCCGACCTATGAGTTTGACTGTCCCTCTGGTATCTTTTGTCCCTCTTTTGTACCAGGGAGAGCTCTATCGAAGTTATTTTCATGAAATGAATACTTATAAGGGGAATAACTCTTTAAAAAATGACGATCGTCCACCTTTTTAATATGATGAGTTTATTCATAATTTATCTGAGATAACACTGATACTAACCTATAGTATCATTTTTAAAAATTCAGTGCAAGAGATGTACATGTGAGAGTGCTAACTAGACCATTTCCCATAAAGGAATATTTCCAGAGAAAATAACTCAACAAAAAAGTCGATCGGCCACCGTTATAGGAATTTGTCCGAGATATCGCTGATAGAAACATTTAATATAAGTTTTATTGTAATCGTGCATGAATTTTATCCGTGAGACCGCTCACAAAATTTAATATTTCTAAGGGGCATAACTCTTTTAAAAAATTCAAGCGCCCACAATTTAAGATTTGTTTTGATATATTGCGGATTTTAACCTAAAGTATGAGTTTTTTGGAAATCTGACAAAAATTGTACCTTTGTGAGCGCTAACAAAGCTATTTTACATAATTTTTTAATATTTCTAGGGAGAATGACGATTTTTGGAGACAATTTAGGGAGGCTAGAAAATTCTTATCAACAATTACGTACAAGTGTTGTCACAGTGTAATATTTCTATATGTCGTTGTATTTTTACGAGTTTTTGACAGCCTTATTGTTTTTAAAATTTTGCTTACAAGTATATTTTTTGGATACCAGTATTTTCTGATAAACTACAGTTTTGTTCAGATCTTGTGATATCTGACATTCAAATGTACATTAAAATGTACATGGACAATTTATGTTTCTTTTGTAAATGTAGCCGATTCAAAAAATTTTCACAACAAGGCAGCGAACACCATCTATCTTAGTTACACGCTTTATTTTGGTACTTTGAGTAACTATTGAGTTACTTTTAAAATGATATACTGTTCTAAAAGCGGACTCACCTGAATTCCTTCATGTGATTTAACATCGTCACCGATACTCAATTGTAAATCGCTGTAAATTTGTTCACCAATTCCTGATCTATTTCCACATGAAGTGCATATGTAGGACTCTTTGACCTATTGACATAAATTATAGATACAAGGTCCAATAATAACATGCAATATTTTGTTTATGTTTATCTACTAAACTTCTGACTAAAATACGAGAAAATTTCGTTCAAATATCTGGGTCGAACAGACCGCTTTACCACTACATTTACAACTCAGCGTTTAATCGCAATTAAGTATATCATTTAGGCACATGTTGCCGTATAAAATATCGACAAACAGGTTGTTGTTGTTTTACACTGACACGCAGTAGCTCATCACAATCAATATGCGGAAAAATTATGTTAAGTAGCAACCGTGAAGAAGTGAAGGAAAAAGGCGTTCCTGTAGCTGCATGGAGGATTTCAGTTAGCACTAAAAATTTACTTTTTCTATCATGAATGTAAAATTCTATATTTACAAACAGAAATGTTATAATTGACGTAAAACAGACCAAAATCTTTGTACTGTATGTCTATTTCGGGTTTTCTTAATTCTATCAACAGACTAAATTTGTCATTATAAGATTTATAGGTGACATACACATCCTAGAGACATGTTGTCAATTTATGACGCTAATGACGTTCGGGGCACAAACTATACAAAACACTATTATAAAGACTGGAAATATCCCCTCCCTGCACTGTTATATGTATAATTGGTCCATATAAGAGTCTACTGTAGATTGAACAATAGTTATGAATTATCATTATTATGGATAACTACACGTAACCTAACCCTTCAACAATAAAACAATAAATAGTATTTAGCATACCTTGATGTACGTGTCCTCCCCATACAGCTCCATAAAATGCTGTATGGCTGTTTGCACAAATTCATGCGCATCATGTTGTTGTTCCGTTTCCAGTCCATATATGGTATATAAATCATTCAGTGCGTTTTGCAGAGCACCACGGGTTACTTCTTCTCCTTTTCCCACTTTGTCAAACACACCCAACACTGTCCTAATGTTTTCCTCGTACGATAGCTCCGTCTGAAATTGTTCGTTAATGTTTCTCATGAATTTAGTGTTGGTGAACATTTGGACAACGGAATTGAACCAACACGATTCGCCTACGTTTTCTAATCCTGACCGCGAATCTTTCACCAGCTGTAAAAATGATTGGTCGTTGTAATCTCTGCCCATGTCTTTGTAAATCTCTTGAAGATATTTGTTGTTCTTAAGGTCTTTCAGGTTACAAGTCAATCGATTATCATCTTTAAACATCCTAGTTTGTTTATCAACCGGCTTATCAGTGTTCTGGGAGTTCGATTTCCTTTCAACGTTTCCCTTCACTTCTACTTTGTTTGTTGATTTCTCATTGAGAACTGTTTTTTTCGGCGTTACTGTGCTTTTATCCTTCAAGTTCTTTATCGTTATTGCCGATGGAGTTTTCTGATATTTACCAATTAATTGGCTGTCTCTTGTAGTTGCTTGTTTTTTGTCCCAACTTTCTTCAATAGTCTTAGTACTCCTACCCTTCCTTGTGACTACCCGATGGCCAGATTTTATGGACTTTAAAACGGCAAGTTCTTGTACAACAGTGATGTGATCTTTCAATTGGACCGATATTTCATCCAAACGATTAGTGGTCTTCCCATCAAGTTGTATATGTTTCAGTATTTGAAACCTTTTTTCAATTTTTGTGTTTCCACGTACAACATCAGAGGGATAAGTTCTGTTATACACCTTTGTTGTTCCGTGTCTGGATAGGTCCCCCAGAAGTAGGTTTGTCCATAATGGTATTGTTGGTATGTACAATTTGTGTATTTTGTCTAGTAGGACGGGAGAATATCTCTTGTTTTGAGGTAACTGTGCAAGTATCGGTAATTCCTCAAGCTCATTCCTCACTGTCTGCAAAATATTATTGGCCACATAACAAAATTCATTTCTAGTGGACCTCATATCAAAATCTTCTTCAGTTAAAAAATTTGGGTTTATTTCCTCAGTAAACAATTCCGTAACTTTTGCATCCCCTGAATACAGGCTATCGGTACAAATATCTGCCAAAGCGTTACTGTCAATGTCTAAAGTAGAAACTTTTTCTTGAATGTACTCAATGGACTCCAATGTCTTTTTGTCTAAAACTGTTGATGAGAGAACGTAGTAAATTGCCCTTAATCTTTCCTCTAAATCTGTAAGTGTTGCCGAGTTTAACAAAGTACTAAAGCAGTACATTCCGAAATCATAATTGGTTTTGTAGTGATCGTTGATAATTTTGCGAAATGAACCCATCACATGGGACAGACAGGCATGAGGGAAAGTTCCATCAAAATCATTATCCGTGGCAGCACCAGTTACTATTCTATATGCCCTGTTTCTAAATGTGTTCAGGTTTTCATTGTTAAATTCTGATAAAGAAGCCTGGATGAAAGCCATGCTTCTGTCGCTGTTTACTTGATGGGGGATAGATGCATTTGCATGGCCATATATCTTTTTCTCGGACCTACGAAATTCAGCAAGCCAAAATCTAACCAATGCAGTGGAATGAAGAGACGAAATCATTGACGAAACAGGTATTACTGGTTGTCCTGCCACAGGATTAACACATGCTAATTCATAGTAATAATATTTCAAGTTGTCATTGCGATGGCTTAAAATACTACCTGTTGCATCCCAATATACAGTGCTTGACTTTGCCATGTCGTGCCAAATGCGTATACCCATTTCAGTCCAGTACATTATGTAAGGTGGTAGCACTGCTATATGTTGTATAAATCCAGAAATCTTTTTCCCCACAATTTGATCTTTCATTTCCTGTGCATGCATACACAAACTTTCAAATTCAGATTTATCCAATTTGTTCTGGTATTTTGATTCACTAGATATTTGTTGGAATGTTCTTGTTGTGGTTCCAAAGTTAGAAAAATTGCCAGCCATTTTAACATCAACAGGTGTTTCTTTAATTTTATGAAGATAATGTTTGTACGGTTTTTGGCCATAGGTAAATTCCTGTTTTGTTTTCTGCCTCAACGCTCCACTAATTGGACGTGCATGGCTTTCAGTCATCCTGTGCTTAACTTGAGATGTAATTTCTAATGAAACTTTATACGACTTGTCCATGGAAAAATTGCATTTATTTTTGCAGCCATCGAACCTACATTCTCCTGTACCACGAAATAACGGTGTCTTTGTTGGTTTTTTTCTGGCTATAGATACCTTGTGCCATCGAAATATGTACACACAATAGGGATTTGTTTTTTGTATACCATCAGAAATTATGTGCTCCCAAGAACCACGAGCAAAGCATCGATTTCTTTTCGTCTTACAAAGTTCTTGCCATTGTGAAGATTTAATTTTGAACTCCCCTTTTGTAGGAACTTCTTTCTCGAAATATTCATTGGTGGCTGTTGGTCCAAATGCATATTCTAAGGTTGTTTTACAGAATTTTTTAACACCAATATCACTTTTGTGCCTACTTTGCCCTTCTTCCGATATGTCATCAAAACGATCACCTGCAATTCCATCTGAAAAAGAGTATTCTCTGCTGAAGTCTTCAAATTTACTTTGATATGTAGTTTTTTGGTCGCCTTTCTGTTTGGTTCTTTGTTGTCTGTCTACATTGCTGATGTTTGTCATTGGACCTTTCTTATCAAAGTATTCATTTGATGTATATGTGTAGGACTCTGTATCGGTTTCACTCTCTGTGTCCCCTTCTGTTATACTGTAATTCTGCTCTTGATCTTTAAATTGGTTGTCCTTCTCATTCTGATCAGTCATAGTAATATCTGTGTCAGGCTTATCTTTTGAGAACTGTAATGAATATCCTTTGTCTGTCCTACTGCCTGTTTTACTGCCTGTTTTACTGTCATTTGTTTTGTGTCGATTTTTTCTTAACTTTAAAGGAGGTAAGCTCGAATCACTTTCAACTAAATCTTCTTCTGCACTAGGGTCATAATGGTCTTTCATTTTTGTCACATCTCCTTTTGGCGCTAACGGTCCTTTCGTTTTTTCTAAAGATGCTTTGAAGTCATCTTCCTTTCTGGTATTCTGCTCTTGATCTTTAAGTTGGTTATCCTTCTCATTCTGATCAGTCATAGTAATATCTGTGTCAGGCTTATCATTTAAGAACTGTAATGAATATCCTTTGTCTGTCCTACTGCCTGTTTTACTGCCTGCTTTACTGTCATTTTTCTTGTGTCGATTTCTTCTTAACTTTAAAGGAGGTAAACTCGAATCACTTTCAACTAAATCCTCCTCTGCACTAGGGTCATCATGGTCTTTCATTTTTGTCACATCCCCTTTTGGCGCTAACGGTCCTTTCGTTTTTTCTAAAGATGCTTTGAAGTCATCTTCCTTTCTGGTATTCTGCTCTTGATCTTTAAGTTGGTTGTCCTTCTCATTCTGATCAGTCATAGTAATATCTGTGTCAGGCTTATCTTTTGAGAACTGTAATGAATATCCTTTGTCTGTCCTACTGCCTGTTTTACTGCCTGTTTTACTGTCATTTGTCTTGTGTTGATTTCTTCTTAACTTTAAAGGAGGTAAACTCGAATCACTTTCAACTAAATCCTCTTCTGCACTAGGGTCATAATGGTCTTTCATTTTTGTCACATCCCCTTTTGGCGCTAACGGTCCTTTCGTTTTTTCTAAAGATGCTTTGAAGTCATCTTCCTTTCTGGTATTCTGCTCTTGATCTTTAAATTGGTTGTCCTTCTCATTCTGATCAGTCATAGTAATATCTGTGTCAGGCTTATCTTTTGAGAACTGTAATGAATATCCTTTGTCTGTCCTACTGCCTGTTTTACTGCCTGTTTTACTGTCATTTTTCTTGTGTTGATTTCTTCTTAACTTTAAAGGAGGTAAACTCGAATCACTTTCAACTAAATCTTCTTCTGCACTAGGGTCATAATGGTCTTTCATTTTTGTCACATCTCCTTTTGGCGCTAACGGTCCTTTCGTTTTTTTTAAAGATACTTTGAAGTCATCTTCCTTTCTGGTATTCTGCTCTTGATCTTTAAATTGGTTGTCTTTGTCATTCTGATCAGTCATATTAATATCTGTGTCAGGCTTATCATTTGAGAACTGTAATGAATATCCTTTGTCTGTTTTTCTGTCCATGTTTCTTTCTTTTTTCATCTCTTGTTTTCTTCCTAACTGTATCATAGTATCACTTCCAACTAATTCTGCTTTTGTAGTAGGTGCATGATTGTCGTTCGTATCTAACAGATCTTCATTAGGCGTTAACTGTTTTTCAGCATTTTTAAAAGATACTTCCTCTTTCTGTTTTTGGTCTTGACCTTTCAGTTGTTTGTCCTGCTCATTCTGGTAAGTGACAGTAGTATCTTTAACAACATTTTCAGTCGGAAACTGTAACGAATATTCTTTATCTGTCTTTTTGTATGTTTTACCTCTATTGGTCTCTTCTCTGGTGCGTCCCAACGGTAACTTAGAATCGATCTTAACCATATCTGTTGGTAATTTCATAGTTCTTAGCGTCCGGTCTTTCGTGTGTTGGTTACTCTTCTTCGTCCCATCACTTACATTTGTTTCCTTTATAGCAGTGTTTCCAGAAGTTAAAGAGCTGGTATGAGTGTTAATGTCTTCATGACTGTCCTTTTTCTTTTGTTTCTTTCGTTTTCCGGTTTTCTGACTTTCCGGGTCTGATGTATCCTCATCTGTTAATGTCTGCTTCTGGTCTTCTTGGAATTCCTCGTTTTCAATCAGATCATGCTCACTTGGTCCTATAATTGTATGAATGAAAACACTCAATTATTTCATGAAGCATTCAAACTGTAATAAATTACGTGAATAGCTGTCCGTAATTATTTTCAGAACTCCAATTACCACAAATCCATAACAAGAAAAACATGCAATTAGACCGACACCTGTTATCAAGATATTACAGTCATAATTGCAGTCGATATATATCGAAATCCGTATTTATTGCTCTTGCAAAAGTTTGAATAAAAAGCTTTTATTAGATAAATTGATCTATGGCCGTGTTCACATTTACCTAAACTCGGTGTTGTGTTAGTGTAACTCACACGTAAACTAAACACAATTACGTTCCCATTGATAAAACTCAATGGTTACGTGTACATGTAGTTTTAATTATGTTTTGTCTACATGCAGTCGATAGTCAATGTAGGCCTTGTGTAGGTTAAGTTTACGCAAAACTAGGCATTTAGAACTTTAATTTTACCAAGTATATTTAAGGAATTACATCCCAGCTCCTTTGTTCTACCAGGAGTGATCTGAGCCGGATCACCCCTTCCAGATCACCCCAGCTTGAGTTTCTTTGTTTTGCATGCTTTCATTTGTTCTGTAACATTTTAGCGGGAATGTCAAATCCACTATAAAACTTAGAAATATTTATACGGAAAAGGCTATCTATCAAAATTTATGTAGAAGAAATTCAGTGTCTGTGCTTGGATTCGAACTCAAGACCTTTAGCATAACAACCAACGACACATAACCCTACACTAGGACGACTGGATACCAACTATTAGTAATTTAACATACTAAAAGGAAGAAAGATATTTTCATAAGTAGGACGAGTTTTAAGACCTTTATTCAATGGGGTTTTAACACTTTTCTTAAATAAGTGAGTTGTCAGACTTATTGTTCAGTGGGATTTTACCCCCTTTCAAATGTGGGGCGAGCTGGTAAACAAGAGTTGGGCGATTTAGTGTGGGCCGATTGGCTTTTGGGGCGAGTTGACATGATTCATATTTAATCATCGTGTTCGGGGGTCATAAAGGGTATACATTATATAGTAATATATAAGATATATTATAATGGTTGTGTGGCGTTCTAAACAAGACTTTTTGTATTGTAAATGGTTTTTCGTTTAATCTAAAACAGCTGGGATGTAAAATAGTTATCCCATTCAGACTTGGTGTGTCAGTGTTAGATCACCCTCTGGCCTCCGGCCATCGGGATGATCTTACACTAACACGCCGCGTCCTCATGGGATAACTATTAAAGAACGGCTTTTGAATAAAATTCATATTTATAACAATTATGAATAAAGTTCTTTACAGAAATATTTGTCTAAACTTGATATATTTATTTGTTATAAGAAAAACTTAAGGTTGCTTTATTAAACCCTTATCAAGACTCAAAACATCATCATTGCCAAACACATAATTCATTTGAAAAGGTCTTCCCCGAATTGACTGGACGTACACGGAAATATTTGCCACTGGTCAATGCGAAATCGAGACATCTTTAGTATCTTTAAACCATGCAAATCGTCAAAATGGCTTTCACAAAGGAGCAACCACTTAACTTCAAAAAGGGGGGTGGTATATTTGTTTTTAATCAGTTTTTTTCGATGCCAGCAATCAAATATAATTTTTCAACATTTAACACTGGAAAGTATTGGGAAACTCTGGATTCGAACATTTATCTAATCATCTCTATGACCAGATTTTCTTTTCTTTTTTATCAAATTGGGGATCAGAATATTTTTCAAGAAAAATCCATCCCCCTTTTTTGAAGTCAAATGGTCGTTCCCTAACTTGTAGAAAAGTTGTCAGAAAAATTTGCATTTGGTTCTACGTAATGAACATTTAAATGACATATAGTTTAAAAGTATGTACAGGTAATTAAACAAGGTTTATAGATTTAAACACATTTAATGTGAAACCAGTGTACATTACCTTAAACTAAATGTAAACATGTTTACTGTACATGGCGTTTGGTGTGAACACGGCCCAACTCTAATAAGGCATCGACTGACAATTTATTCAATGCAGACTTATTTGTAGAAATTATCTATTGTAACGTTTCTCTTAATCTATTGTAATAGTTTTAGTTAAAAATTTGTATGAAAAAGACGGAAGTGCAACGGTTAATACTCTCCGTCAAGGCATGTCTTTTGAAGGATATTGACAACAAAAATGTGTAATGACCACTTCAATATCAACAGCAATTACAATAAGCAGTTAAAGTCATGGTAGTGGTAAATAACCAATAAAGAATACAAACTTATAACTTGATATGCAAAACGTGTGTTTGGTCATCAACAGACTTACCAGTTTGCACTATAATCAATTGGAATATGAATAAAAAATCAATTGACGTGATTACGTATCTTCTTCACCTTAAGTATCTTAGTTCATGTGTAGTTTATTTTGATTAAAAGAATCAAAATCAACAAATAAAGGTGTTATTAACTGTCTGTTTCTGTGTCGGCCCTGTGATATATTATCGATCAGCTGTATTCGTCGTCGACTCTTCGAGTCTATGGTCCAAAAGCTAACCTCGAATCTATAACAGGGTCAATAAAGAAACAGCCACTTAATAAAACTGTAATATATACTTCTCAATTGTAACACTTCCTTATTCCAGTGTCACTGTTGAGTCCATGTATATGAAACGCACGTCTTCCGTATAAAATGCTACTTCTTGGGTATTTGAAGATAATATTATAATATATATATATATAAGATATAGTAGGAGTGCCAATATATTAATGAAACAACTTTCCATCCAAGTAACAATTTGTAAAAGTAAATCATTATAGATTAAAGTAAGGCATTCAACATGGAGCCTTTGCGTGCGTCGAACAGCAATATATGAGGGACCTTACAAATATGTTAACTAAATCATACTCTCCTTATCCCTGTTGAAACTTGCTGGAAAATTGAAAAAGAGATGCATATAGTCTCTGTTCTGTTATCATTTCTTTGTTCAGAATGATTTAAAAGGTTAGCATGGGATGCACTTCCACTGTTAGTTACACTAACCAATGTGTACTTGCGGGAGCCAGTAGTGTGATTGAGAAAAAAAACAGTTGCAGTTTAGCCTACCACAGTATGTTGTGCACTTCTTCCATGTGTGCTTACCATTCAGTGCTCCACAAGCACGAGGAAAGTTCCACTTGTATGAGAAGGCATCAGTGAACTACCATGACTACTGCATGATACACAAATAAATGTAAAATGTGTGCATGCGCCAGTTTGCATATAAGATTATAAAGGGACATAACTGAAGAACGGTTAAAGTGACCCAAAATCGAGCTTGATCTGTGTTTTATGGTAATATCATAGTTTAGTTTCATAACCTTTGATTGATGGAAATTAAAGTTAGAGACCGAAAACTATTTTTGCGACATACAAGTGTAGTGACGTTCAGCCAATTGATATACTTAGTCCAACCAGAAATTTGACGGTTTTTAATTGAAATTTGTACATACCCAACCACTTCCCGATTATTAATACAACCCCTTTATACAATCAGGTCGATTTGGTCTGGTCTAGATCGGGCAGAGATTGAGCATAGTTTATATAATCTAGCAAGTCGAGCAAAGACTTGTAAAAATCGCGAATTGGTTGGAATAATCGAATATGTATTGAATCTATGGTCGGGTTGGAGTCGTGATGGTGTCCTCAATTAAAGGAGTCATGAATGGCCGAATTTAAGTCGTGAAACTAAAGTATGCTATTTTCAAAATGTTAAAATCTGTTTACCATTTATTTACGATAAAAAATTTCAACATGACAAGTTTTACCGGATTTGCTATAACATAGGCAACACGACGGGTGCCACACGTGGAGCAGGATCTGCTTACCCTTCCGGAGCACCTGAGAACACCCCTAGTTTTTGGTTGGGTTCGCGTTAGTTTTCTATGTTGTGTCATGTGTTCTATTGTTTGTCTGTTCGTCTTTTTCATTTTTAGCCAGGCGTTGTCAGTTTATTTTCGATTTATGAGTTTGACTGTCCCTCTTTTACAAACAGTTCAATATGGCCAACCCTGCCAGTTTACAAACGATTTATAACATTAATATAATTTGTGTTTACTCCTATTAGATTGAATAGGTTTTCTATATATATATAAACTGAAGAAGCAGAAATGATAAGCAAGAAGTATTATACATGGCCGAAATCATCAGTTGTTTTCTCTTTTGAGTTATTGACTTTTAATAAAAAAAAAAATATCTTTTTTTTAGTTTTTTTGCCTACAATTCATAGATAGATACCTTGAAAAGTAAGAAATATAGATTTATCTTTGACACATTCCCCATTTTCATTTTCAATTTTATTATAAGTATTTCAAAGTAAGAAACATTTGAATACATGAGACGAGTTTAATTTTGATGAGTAAACTGTAGTAAAAATATGACAGCACAAGCTAATCTAGAAGTCTTTTTTTATGATTATATTTATTCGTATTATCCCCTTGGCCTTATAAAACTCAATGTTATGGTGACTGCACTTTGTTAGGTATTTACACCTTCTAAAAATAAACGTGACACTTCATGGATATATATAGTTTGATTTTTTATTTGTTGTCAGTAATTGCAAGTTTTGAGAATCATAGAAAAAACATCACAATGTTTTCGCCTAAACATCCCCGTATTAAACTTTGGTATGCTTTATTTTATATTTAACTTAATACAAAGAATAGAAATATCGAAACGAAAGAGTTATGATCTATCAAAATAAAATATCTCTATTAGGTATTTTATTCACAAAGTTAAATAGCATTTTGGCGTATACGATTGGTTGGCTCTTGATATAGTAATTTCTAGAAGGCTTCTCGAAAAATGTCTAAATTTATTATTTCTCTTCAGAATTAATGAATTCAAATATAAATCAGTAGAAAACTTTGGAATTTTTTTTATGTAAAATTTTGTTTATACAATGCATTATTATATTTAACAATAAAAGTTAAACTAACAATGAAGATAATGCAATCACAGTAAATGATGGCATTGATATTGATTTTCTTTTG